ACCTTGAGGAGAAAGCCTTATAAGGAGATGGGATCTTACTTCTCCTTTTGTCTATGGAGTACGTGTGATTAATGAACTTTAATTGAATGTAGGACTTTTAACATAAGCTTTCGACATCTTGTCTATGTGACTTTTAATATAGAAGTAAAGGGGATCTAAGAGGCTGTCCAGCCTGACCCAGTAGATTTCACACTTAATGTCCAAATCTCACTTTACGACTGCTTTAGGACAAACCAATGGGTTTCAAAATGGCATCTCTTATGCTAGTCTGGGATAAACATATAATCCTAAAACCTGTAAGAGACAATTCTCATCATGATTATACTGAGTTAATTAAGGAACATTTCCTCCTCATTGCTCTTACTTCTGTGCTTTGTTCTTTTCTGAAGTGCGCTTTTTCATTCTCTGCTTTGAGGCTGGATTTCTCATATCCAGTTTCTCTGAAATTTTCTTGAGTTCCCAGAGGAACTGAATTACAGAATCAGCATATATTGCCCACAACAATCTGGGTCCTCATTTTACCGTCCTCAGAAGGCTGGCAGGCTGAGTAAACCTTGAGCTTGGTGAGATTCGAGCTGCCAAATTGCAGGCAGCTGGCAGTCACCAAAAGTAGCCTGAAGTACTGCATTCTAACCACTGTGCCACTTGGCTCTTAAGCACCAAAATTTTCCTTTTGTGAACCTGCATTCAGTACCTTATGGTGTGATATGGTATGGAGTATACACATTTACTTCTGTATTAGGGCTTATTTTGCATACTTCCCAACTTCTTAATGGCCTCCTGTAGGACCAGTGTCACAGCAGAATAGTTAGTGAACTGCAGTTTCAGTTTTTCTCAGATGTCAGGCTAGTAGGTTGGGATTTAGTTACTTTTAATAGAGAGACACGTCCTACATGTAGCTCTGCTCCCATCATCTTCTTAAAGTTTAATTATAGATAAGGATGCTAGACAGATCTTATGATTCCCTTTCAGGTTTTATTACAGATTGACTGGCATACACAATGTGTGTGGGAATTTTGAGATCATGGATAAGCACCTGCAAAATGGCAAAGCCCCATTTTGCCAAAAATGTGACCTGTCATCTTTTTAACCTCCTCTCTTGTAAGATGCTTGATACTGAGCCTGCATAGCTTTGTCATTTTTTTCTGGTCATGTGAGCATATTTCCAAATAAAGAACTTGGTTCCCGCTGCCTATCATTTTCATTTTTGTTGTTGCGCAGATTATGCAATAGATTGCTACTCTGCAGTATGCCATCTTCCCGTAACTGATTTAAAAGACTCTAACTACAGTCTTAGCACAGTGTTTTTCAAACTTGGAATGTTAAGATGTGTGGACTTCAGCTCCCAGAGTTCCACTATGCTGATTGCAGAATTCTAGGATCTGAAGTCTACACCTCTTAATTACCAAGTTTGAAAAACACTATGCAGGCATTATGTCAGTAATTTAGTACTTGTTACAGCTGCTATCAGCACCTGATTGATCCAGACTGATTG